ATACTTCAGATGACCCAGAGCAAGCTATAACTAATAGCACTCTATCACAGGTTTGTGATATTTACCCACTAAGGAGATTTTTATTTCAAATATGCTTTCCAAGATGTTCTGTTTCTGGTGGTCTGGTTCCACAGTCTGTCCCCCAGAGAGAGGTAGCTTGTGCAAGAGGAGGCTAGTTCTGGATTTGAAAGAGGGACTCTGCTTAGCATTGTGGCCTTCCTTTTATGACCTGTAACAACCTCTGCTGGACCGCCCTGAAGGTTACTGAGATTTCTTTCAATGGTTTCATTCCCCTAGTCTCATTGCCTGAGATCATTAATAGACATTTCAAAAGCAACACATCAAAAATGGCATTTTTGCTTTCTGTCCTGTACTGGAGTTCAGAGATGTGGCTGACCTGCTTTGCTTGACTCTGAAAGACAGTGTGAAACTCCTCAGTAAGCTGTGCAATTGGCTGCTTAGCTGAGTAGTGAGAATTCCTCCAAACTGGGTATTCTGCAGTGGAGGAATCCCTTTACCTTTTCAGGCTGGTAGACTCTTGGCTGTTCGTGGGTATTTTCTCATTGTTCAGAGGGTGTGCAACCATGCTTTTGGTTTTTCATTGTACAATCCTTATTTAGGCAACAAAATTGATGAGCCATGGAAGGTTTTAACTGTCTGCTCAAGTTTCAGGTAAATCATTGACTACTCAGTGTAGTGGAAAGTACTGGGATGCCTGAGTGCTAAGTGTGCCTCTGCCAGTAACTCCTGATGACATTGAACCAGGAATGTAAACTCTTTGCTCCTCTGTTTCCCTATCAGTAGAATATGTAGAGCCCACTTGGGCCTTGAAAGATGGAACAGTCAAGTAAAAATTCGCAGCAGAGCCAGTGGGCAGATAAGGGGAGTACATAATCAATGTCATGTCTGTATTGCACATGACTCAGCATATTTCAAAATTGTAGCATCAAGTCAACAAACATACACTTGAAAATAACCAGACTGTCAAAGAGAGTTATATAAAGTTAACCTCTTGATTCGTTTTTGAGAAGGAGAGAGATTCTTTTGTTGACACTGACTTGAGTTGGGATGAAATAAGAACTGAATTTCTTTTGGTCTTCGGATTCTGTCCTTCTTTAATAAGAAAAGCCCATTTCTTTACAAATGAGTTGTTCCTATATGTTTCTGTCTAGGCTGTTGTATGAAGGAAGGGCAAGTAAACACAGTCTAGTTTCTAGGTGAGAGCAAAGCACGTCATCTGTGGACATGGAGGACTTTGGTGTAAAGTATATTTCCAAAGGGAAACTCTTGCAAAATGCAGACGCTGACCCCAGTTCTGACCTTGGCGGCTGATGCCAGCATTGGCAGTGGCTCCTTTATTCAGATGCAGAGAAAAGCCAAGAAGTGAAATGATATTTTCCTTCCCTCATCATTACTCAGCATGACTGCGTGGCTTAGCAATAAAGAAATTTAAGTGTTAAGAGAAACTGCAGTGCATTTTCTTGTGCAAAAATGCATTCTCCTGTATAGTCAAGCGATTCACTATGTTCTCATATTATTGCTGAAGAGAATGGTCTTGTGAATTACTTTTGAAATTCTAAGTCTTCTCTGTAGCTGGTGTATTCATATTGCCTGAATTCTAAGGGGAAATAGCTCTTAAATTGGAGTATGCGTAAGAATCACCTGAGTAATTTACTAAAAAGGTAGATACCTGACTCCCACTCTTAGTCACTGGGACTGAAGAACCTACTTAATTTTTTAAATTATACTTCAAGTTCTGGAGTACATGTGCAGAACGTGCAGGTTTGTTACATGGGTATACATGTACCATGATGGTTTGCTGCATCCCTCGCCCTATCATCTACATTAGATATTTCTCCTAATGCTATCTCTACCCTAACCCTCCACCCCAAGAGGCCCCAGGGTGTGATGTTCCCCTCCCTTCATCCATGTGTTCTTTGTTCAACTCCCACTTATGAGTGAGAACATGCAGTGTTTGATTTTCTGTTCTTGTATTAGTTTGCTGAGAATGACAGTTTCTAGCTTCATCCATGTCCCTACAAAGGACATGAACTCGTCCTTTTTTATGGGTGTATAGTATTCCATGGTATATACGTGCCACATTTTCTTTATCCAGTCTATTATTGATGGGCATTTGGGTTGAGAACCTACATTTTTAATACATGTTCCAGAAGGTTCTGATTTGGGGGATCCATTGAGTTGCCTTGAATGTTACCACCTGGGTGCCATGCTCAGTTATCAAAAACCTTATTGCTATGCCTGTCCCCCTTATAAGCCAAGCCCTAGCTGCTGCTTTTAGAACTGCACTTGAACTTGCCTATATAAATTAAAGGTATAATGATAATAATTATTTTTGACTCACAACAATTTTCTGATTTATACAAACAGTATGGGAGGAGCATGAACTTAGCAGTCAGAAAGGCCTGGGTGTGGGTCTTTGAGCTTCCTCTGTTACTTGGGCAGGTTGTTCAACTTCTCTGAGGCTCTGTTTCCTCATCTGTCCGTGGTCAGATGGGAGCAGTATGACTTGCTTGACTGAGAGAGCAGGGTGATGAAGATGGAATAAAGTGGCTTATATGTAAACACCTTGCCCTATGTGTGGCATTTAGTAGATGCCAATAAATAGTACTTGTCTCCTTTTTTATAGGAAGCAGGAATTAACTTTAAAAAACATAAGCACTTGGTTGGGTGCTGCGGCTCACATCTGTAATCCCAGGACTTTGGGAGGCCAAGCTGGGTGGATCACGAGGTTGGGAATTCAAGACCAGCCTGGCCAAGATGGTGAAATCTCGTGTCTACTAAAACTACAAAAATTACCTGGGCGCGGTGGCAGGCACCTGTAATCCCAGCTACTTGGTAGGCTGAGGCAGGAGAATCACTTGAACCCAGGCAGCAGAGGTTCAGTGAGCTGAGATCTGCACCACTACACTCCAGGCTGGGTGGCAGAGTGAGACTCTGTCTCGAAAACACACACACACACACACACACACACACGCTTAAAGCAGATATTCTTAAGGAAAACCTTTTTTTTTTAATCTGCAAGGGATAGATTTTTTTGGCCTTGATACACATCACTTTAAAAGTCAGTCATTGTTTAGAGATCTTGATAGCATGTCCCTCCTCATTCTTTTAGATAATACAGGAGTTATGTTGTAAATAGATTTTCAAGAGAGTTCCCAGGAGGTAGATAAGGAAATGCAGGTGAATTGCAACCTTGGTATCTTTGTGGCCATTCCCAGGGCCCATTGCAGAGAACACAGATCAGATGTTCCACCTGAAATGCACCTGCTCCTCGTCAGAATCTCACAAGAAGAGCCTTGTTTCTCAGAAGGTAGCCAGTAATGGATTATGTGGAGTATCTTGTTTAAACTCTTTCCAGGCAAAATGAGAACATGGCAGAGGTCTGAGAGAAACAGTGAACTATTGTACTTGTGGTATAGAGCAAGCTCCTTGTTGTGAGGTGTTTTCTAAACCGAGTTGCAGCAGTATCTGCCCACATCTACCCTGCTCAACCTACCTTTACCTTTTGAGAGAAAATCATCTTTCTGTGGGTTGATTAATTTTAGGTTCAGTGTTCTTGTCCTTTATAATGCTCGTGTAATTACTTAAGAAGTATGTTTTTATATATCACCATGTTCCTCCTTCTGAGGCCCCACATCAAAAAAGGACTTTGGCAGCAACACTGCCCATCTGCATTCTGTGGCTGGAGAAACTGCAGGTTAAATGAAGACTCTTGGTGAGCTCAAAGCCACAAGTCTCTTCTCACTGCCTTCTCTCTGCACCGTTGTAAAGGGGACTCTGTACATCCCAGTCTTGAGGCTGGGAAACCTCCATAACTTCTATTCTCTGAAGGTCACACTCTGGAAACGAAGAGTATTCTTTTAGTATTTCTCTTAGTATCCTTGGAAGCCCCATCATGTGGTGTTAGGATCTGAAAAGATCCTATAAACCTCTGGGCCAATCCCCTTTGTTTTATGGGAAAGGAAACTAAGGTTCAGAGAGATCCACACTGTTCCTAGTTTATTTTAAAAAAAATTCCTGGCCGGGCGCGGTGGCTCAAGCCTGTAATCCCAGCACTTTGGGAGGCCGAGGCGGGTGGATCACGAGGTCAACAGATCGAGACCATCTTGGTCAACATGGTGAAACCCCGTCTCTACTAAAATTACAAAAAATTAGCTGGGCACGGTGGTGCGTGCCTGTAATCCCAGCTGCTCGGGAGGCTGAGGCAGGAGAATTGCCTGAACCCAGGAGGCGGAAGTTGCGGTGAGCCGAGATCGTGCCATTGCACTCCAGCCTGGGTAACAAGAGCGAAACTCTGTCTCAAAAAAAAAAAAAAAAAATTCCTGCCTGCAGTGTGCGTATCAGACACTATGCACATAACAGAAGGCTCATCATAGGCCAACAGGTTAGATGAGTTGCCATTGATGATCAGGAATGACGCTCTGGTAAAGTAGGCTAGAAACTGTCCAGCACATACTAAGTTAATAAGTAAAGAAACGTTTACCGAGAGCCTTTGGTGCATGAACATTCCACTGTGTCCCGAGAAGCTGGGAGAAGGAGGGAGAAAAATACAACTGGGGAGACAAAAAGGATAAACTTAAAGAAATGACCCCTATCTTCAAGGACTTACAGTCCACAGGGAACCCCTTCTGAAGGTGCCTTCTAAATCAAGATAAAGACATATTACAAAATATTGAGCCAAGCAAGATTGTATACTCAGTAGTGCAATGATGTCATCCTAGATAAGTGTGGGAGGAAGAGAGAAGAGAGCAGGCTCCACTGAGGAATATGCCGGGTGTTTTCTCCCCTGGATTGTTAAAGCCACGACTGTTATATGGGTCTTTGTGTCTCCAGGATTATGGCTTGGAGGGACTGCTCCATTCACACTGTCGAATCAATCTGTGTGGCTCATTTGACACCAAAATTACAGAGATACTATGACGACCCCTTTTGCAGGAATGCTGTCTACTCACCTGGATCTTTTGTTGATTTTCTTTCAGTGGCCCACCCTCAGGACCCTCACCACCCATCGGAGAAGCCTGTCATTCACTGCCATAAATGTGGGGAGCCTTGCAAGGGTGAAGTGCTTCGGGTCCAGACCAAACATTTCCACATCAAGTGTTTCACCTGCAAAGGTATGGTGCCTCCTGCTTCCTGGCTCAGAGGCATGTCACGGTCGGGGCTTGCCTTGGGTCCAGCCCATCCCCTTAACTCCGTATTGGGTCACTGGATGATAAGCAAATGCCCTCGGAAGCCCTGCCATCATTTACTGCCAGTTGGGATTCAGTTAGATTAGGGCAAGAATGAAGCCTGCTAAAACCAGTGGTTCATGGCCTTTGGGTGCTTACTGAGGTCCCTTCTGGAAGTAGGGACTAACACCGAGAAAGAGCAGAAAAAACACAGTTCTGTATTTTTTGCCTTATTTTTCTTTTTCTCTGAAACGACGAACTCCTACTAAAAAGTAACTTGTCGCAATATCCATTAGTTCTAGGAGGCCTGGAAAACTTGCAAGATTGGGTGCCAGGTCACTGACTCCTCTGTGTGTGTGTGTGTGTGTGTGTGTGTGTGTGTGTGTGTACAGAAATATACCTCCCCTACAAGAAGCTACCAGTTTGGTGTTGATTTCCATTAACAAGCCTACCTTTTGGGGTTTACAAAGATTGGCATCTTTGTATGAAATATGTCAACCTTTTATTCCAGAGCCAGGGTATGGCTGACTGGGGAAAAAAAGGAAAAATGATTTTGTGTGTTTGTTTCATAAATAGGTTACTTGGGCTGAGAGCATGTCTGGGTAGCTCAAGATGGGGTTGAAGGATGTAGGAGAAGGAAGGGGGACGAGCCCTGAGTGTACACTGTAGATTTACTTTGTGCCCTGGATGGGGTAAGCGCCCTCAGTCCTATGCCCTGCATGTGGTAACCACCTTCATTCCTGGAAACTGGGTTTCATTTTGAGTATCTTATGTCCCAAAGACTCAGCATTGTCATCCTAAGCCATCCTTCCACGGCCATGGGGCTCTCAGGTAGATTCCAGGCTTCCTAGTGACCACGAAATACATGAATAAAGGAGGAGGGAGTGCTTTCCTGGAGTTCACAGCTGTCCTTTACGCTGAGGGTAAAGTTTTCAGGAGAAAGAACATTTACATGTGTAGCTAGGGTAGGAAGGTGGAAGGAGGCGAGGGTATGAGCTTAACTCCCTCAAATGAGCTCAATGCTCAACGCATGACATACGTTACAAATGATGCGTCCACATCTTATAGAGGGATTATTTAATGCTCCTGAAAACCCCTGTGAGTCAGTATGATAAACCTCAGTTTTCACCCAACCCAAGTTGGCCATGAGGAAATATCAAGGTCACACCCAGGGTGCTGTGCTGTCGCGTTGTGTGGCTTAAGTCCTGCCTTGCCATTAAGTACCTATCTGATTGCAGACAAGTTACTTGTCTGTGTCTCATTGTCCTTATCTGTGAAAATAAAGAGACTAGACCATTGACAAATTGTCCCAGGTCTGAAGTTTGCAGATTCCATATGCCAGATAAGTGTATATTAACATAGAACATAGAGGTACTGAATTAGAGCTTCTTAGTTTTCTGGTCACATCCAGTTTAGCTAACTTGGAGTCAGCATTATGTTTTTATTTTTCCTCCTATATTTATTGAGAATGGCTCAAAGGATAGATTTGGTATGAAATAAATACAATCCATAAATGACTGTAGCCCCATATATATTTTACTTATTCTATTCCATTCATTCAAGATAGTGTCTTGTTCTGTCACTCAGGCTGGAGTGCAGTGGCATGATCTCAGCTCACTGCAACCTCTGCCTCCTGGGTTCAAATGATTCTTCGGCCTCAGCTTCCCAAGTAGCTAGGATTACAGGAAATCACCACCACACCTTGCTAATTTTTGTGTGGTTTTTTGTTTTGTTTTGTTTTCTGAGGTGGAATCTAGCTCTGTCGCCTAGGCTGGAGTGCAGTGGTGCCATCTTGGCTCATTGCAAACTCCACCTCCTGGGTTCAAGCAATTCTTCTGCCTCAGCCTCCTGAGTACCTGGGATTACAGGCTCCCACCACTATGCCCAGCTGATTTTTGTATTTTTAGTAGAGACTGGGTTTCACTGTGTTAGTCAGGCTAGTCTCGAAGTGTGTGGGGTTTTTATTGTTGTTGTTGTTGTTTTTTGTTTTTTAGTAGAGACAGGGTTTTTCACCACATTGGCCAGACTAGTCTTGAACTCCTGCTCTCAAGCAATTGTCCTGCCTCAGCCTCCCGAAGTGCTGGAATTACAGGTGTGAACCACCACACCTGGCTCTCTCTCTCTTTTTTTTATTTCTACTTGAACGTATGAAGTAGTAGCCTCAGACCGGGCAGTCACTGTTCAACACATCATGGTATTAGAATAGACAGCCATTTATCCCCATAGGGGGAAGTTTACTTGTTTTTTTGTTTTTTCTTTGGTTGTTTTTTCTTTTTTAGTTGAATTCTAAGGATCAAATGTAAGTTCCTCATTTTGGAAAGTTGTATCACATGCTATAAATGTGTTCTTGAAAAGTTTTTTGTTTAAATTAAATTCTATTTTAAGAACAGTTGGTATTTGTAGGAATTATTGTTCAAGTCAACAAAATGTTGCTAAAAAAATGAGTCATCTATTCGGATAAATGTCTATTTTCTCACACGTGACCTAGCAATGGCTACTATCTTGTGTCCCAACGTTCTGGAACCACCTTTTCTTTAATATCCAAAGAAAGTGGTTTAGGTTCCCTGTGCCTTATATTGTAGGGGAGTCCATGACTTTTCCCAAGATTCTAGAGCAGCACTGGCCAGTAGAAATATCATGCAAGCTGGCACACGTTTACCTGTGTGACAAACCTGCACATCCTGCTCATGCACCCCAAAACCTAAGTAAATTAATATTGTTAAAGATGCAAGTCACTTATATAATTCGAAATATTTTAATAGCCATATTGAAAAGGTTGAAAGGAAAAGGCACAGTTACTTTTCACTGAAATATTTTATTTAACCCTATCTATCCAAAATACTACCAATTTCAACAAGAAATATAGAAAGTATTGAGATATTTGACATTCTTTTTTTTTCATACTATCTTAACACATCTCAGTTTGGACGAGACACATTTCTTTTTTTTTTTTTTGAGATGGAATTCCGCTCTTGTTGCCCAGGCTGGAGTATAGTGGAATGATCTCGACTCCCTACAACCTCTGCCTTCTGGATTCAAGTGTATCTCCTACCTCAGCCTTCCGAGTAGCTGGGATTACAGGTGTATGCCACCAGGCCCAGCTATTTTTTTTTTGGCATTATTTGTAGAGACAGGGTTTCACCATGTAGCCCAGGCTGGTCTTGAACTCCTGACCCAGGTAATCCACCCGTCTCAGCCTCCTAAAATGCCAAGATTATAGACAATGGCCACCACACCTGGCCTGTACTAGACACATTTCAAATGGTGAATGGTCACATGTGGCTAGTGGCTACTGTATTGGACAGAACAGTTCTAAAGATTCCTCAAGGTGTACATTCTTGTGGTTTTCTCACTCCAAATTCTTGCCAGTATCAAAGTCTTGGTCTCCTCCTGTGAGTGCTGTGCCTTTTTCATTGCTTCATCTCACACAGTTTTCCTCTCTCTGCTTTTCCATAGTACCACTACTCCAAGGCAGCTGTTTTCAGCAGACTTTGTTGAAGATCTGGGATAATGGTGGGAGGTTACAGTACAGAATAGGCAGCAACTGCCCTCATATTCTCAGGCCATCTCCAACAGGAGACATTTCTCATTAGCTAGAGCCTTTTCTTTTCTTTGTTTTTCTTTTCTTCCTTCCTTTTCTTTCCTTCTCATTCCATTCTATTCCTTTCCTTTTGTCTTCTTTCCTTTTCTTTCTTATTCCTTTCTTTCATTATTTCATTTCATTCTTTCATTCCAGCGCAGTTTTAGGTTTATGGGAAAATTGATGAGAAAGTACAAGCCAGGGCCATTTTTCAGACTTATTCTGAACCTCATCTGCACCATCTTGCCAGGGCTTGCTCTCTCTACAAAGACCCTTCTCTCTTCATCCTAATCAGATCAGGACTCTGAATTTCCTTAGGATCTTTACTTTTTATAAGTCTCAGCAGAAATAGCAGTCTTTTCCCTGAGGAATGCTGTCTTCCTCCTAGCCCAAGTGACTGGATTGCAGCCAAGTCCTAAAACAACGGTTTCGTTTTTTTCCTGTTTCCCCTACAGTTGCGATGTTCAGGTAGTGAGCTGGTTGTCCTGTGACAGAAGATTTTGGGTGGGGAGTATGTGCCAAAACAAGCCCGGGCTTTTGGTCAAGACCTGGCTGAGTGCACAGGAGGTACACTCCACTTCTGACTGTGACCTTGAGTCCAGCCAAGCTTTCTCCCTGGATTCACTTCCCTCCCTCCTACCTGGCTCTCCTTCACACATATACGTTTTCAACAAAGCCTTCTATTTCTTGAGTGGGGGCAGAGGTTGATTTCCCTTAGAAAAAATGACTAAGATATAAAAGCCTTAAGGAATGAAAAGCAAAGATGAACACTTTTTGCTAAAAGTAGGTTTTGAAAAAAGGGAGAAAGGGGTCGCTTAACATTTTACACAAGAGCTAAAGAAATATGAAGGTGGGAAGGGGTTGCTACGGAGGAGTTAGTGTTGATAGCACAACTCAGATCAGTTTCAGACCCCATGACTTCACAGATTTAGCTGTGACAGGTTAAGGATTGGTGAGCAGAAATTTTACTGGTGAACTCATGTCACTTTCTAAAATGCCTGAGGTTGTAGGATCCAATGGTCCAGGAATTAACTCATCCATTTACTACATGTTGTATTTTGTGGTTGTTTTGAGATGGGGGTCTCACTATGTCGCCCAGGCTGGTCTCAAAGTCCTGAGTTTAAGTGATCCTGAGTAGCTGGGATTACAGGCATGTGCCACCGTGCCAGACGCATTTACTAAACGTTAATTGAACACATACTCCATGCAGGACATTGTGCTAAGTGCTAATAATACAGATAACATACCAGGTTGTCAACTCCCGGGGTATTGGAAGAGCCATATAAATAAACAACGTTTATGAGACCAAGTAATAAGTCCCATGATGGAGAGATGCACAGCCTGCAGACTGGAGGCCGGGAGGGCC